GCTCAGTGGATTGAAAGCTCAGCTTTGGCTCAGATCATGACTTTGCAGTTTGTGAGTTTGAGCCCCACATGGGGCTCTGTGCTGACAGCTCAGAGCCTGGAGCCTGCTTTGGATTCTGTGTCTCCCTCTCTCTCTGCCCCTCCCCAGCTCGTGCTCTATCTTTCTGTCTCTCAAAAATAAATAAACATTATTTAGAAGAAATGGACAAATTCCTAAACACACACTCACTACCAAAATTCACACGGGAAGAAATAGAAAACCTGAACAGACCCATAACGAGTGAAGAAATAGAATCAGTGATCAAAAATCTCCCAACAAATAAGAGCCCTGGACCTGATGGTTTCCCTGGGGAATTCTACCAGACATTTAAAACAGAATTAATCCCAATTCTTCTCAAGCTATTCCAAAAAATAGAAGTCGAAGGAAAACTCCCGGACTCATTTTATGAAGCCAGCATCACTCTGATTCCCAAGCCAGACAGAGATCCAGCAAAAAAAAGAGAACTATAGGCCAATTTCCTTGATGAATACGGATGCAAAAATTCTCAACAAGATCCTTGCAAATCGAATCCAGCAGCATATCAAAAGAATCATCCACCAAGATCAAGTGGGATTCATTCCTGGGTTACAGGGCTGGTTCAACATTCGCAAATCAATGTGATACATTATATCCATAAAAGAAAAGATAAAAACCATATGATCCTGTCAATAGATGCAGAAAAAGCATTTGACAAAATACAGCATCCCTTCTTAATAAATCTCTCGAGAAAGTTGGGATAGAAGGAACCTACTTAAACATCATCAAAGCCATCGATGAGAAGCCTTCAGCTAACATCATCCTCAATGGGGAAAAACTGAGAGCTTTCCCCCTGAGATCAGGAACACGACAGGGATGTCCACTCTCACCACTGTTGTTTAACATAGTGCTGGAAGTCCTAGCATCAGCCATCAGACACCAAAAGGAAATCAAAGGCATCAGAATTGGCAAAGAGGAAGTCAAACTTTCACTCTTCGCAGATGACATGATACTCTACATAGAAAACCCGACAGACTCCACCAGAAGCCTACTAGAACTGATCCAAGAATTCAGCCAAGTTGCAGGGTACAAAATCAACGTACAGAAATCGGTTGCATTTTTATACACCAATGATGAAGCAACAGAAAGAGAAATCAAGAAACTGATCCCATTCACAATTGCACAAAAAACCATAAAATACCTCAGAATAAACCTAACCAAGGATACAAGAGATCTGTATGATGAAAACTATAGAACACTTATGAAGGAAATTGAAGAAGACACAAAGAAATGGAAAAACATTCCATGCTCATGGATAGGAAGAATAAATATAGTTAAGATGTCATTACTACCTAAAGCACTCTACACATTCAATGCAATTCCAATCAAAATTGCACCAGCATACTTCTCAAAGCTAGAACAAACTATCCAAAAATTTGTATGGAACCACAAAAGACCCCGAATAGCCAAAGTAATACTGAAAAATAAAACCAAAACGGGAGGTATCACCATCCCAGACTTCAGCCTCTACTACAAAGCTGTCATCCTCAAGACAGTATGGTATTGGCACAAAAACAGACCCATAGACCAATGGAACAGAATTGAGAACTCAGAAGTGGACCCAAAAGTATACAGCCAACTGATCTTTGACAAAGCAGGAAAGAATATCCAATGGAAAAAAGACAGCCTTTTTAACAGATGGTGTTGGGAGAACTGGACAGCAACATGCAGAAGAATGAAACTAGATCATTTTCTCACACCATGCACAAAAATAAACTCAAAATGGATAAAGGACCTGAACGTGAGACAGGAAACTATCCACACCCTAGAGGAGAAAGCAGGAAACAACCTCCTTGACCTCCACCGCAGCAACTTCTTACTTGACACATCCCCAAAAGCAAGGGAATCAAGAGCAAAAATAAACTGTTGGGACCTCATCAAGATTAAAAGCTTCTGCACAGCCAAGGAAACAACCCAGAAAATTAATAGGCAACCAACGGAATGGGAAAAGATAGTTGCAAATGACATATCAGATAAAGGGTTAATATCCAGAATCTATAAGGAACTCACCAAACTCCACGCCCGAAAAACAAACAACCCAGTGAAGAAACGGGCAGAAGACATGAACAGACACTTCTCCAAAGAGGACATCCAGATGGCCAACAGACACATGAAACGATGCTCAGCATCCCTCCTCATTAGGGAAATACAAATCAAAACCACACTGAGATACCACCTCACGCCAGTCAGAGTGGCTAAAATGAGCAAATCAGAGAACTCTAGATGCTGGCGAGGATGTGGAGAAACACGCACCCTCCTACACTGTTGGTGGGAATGTAAACTGGTACAGCCCCTCTGGAAAACAGTGTGGAGGTTCCTCAGGAAACTAACAATAGAACTCCCTTATGACCCAGCAATAGCACTGCTAGGAATTTACCCAAGGGATACAGAAATGCTGAGGCATAGGAGCACATGTACCCCAATGTTCACAGCAGTACTCTCCACAATAGCTAAAACATGGAAAGAGCCTAAGTGTCCATCCACAGATGAATGGATCAAGAAGATGTGGTTTATCTATACCATGGAATACTACATGGCAATGAGAAACAATGAAATCTGGCCATGTGTAGCAACATGGATGGACCTTGAGGGTGTTATGCTGAGCGAAATAAGTCAGGCAGAGAAGGACAAATATCATATGTTTGCACGTATAGGAGGATTAGGAGGAACTTGACGGAGGAACAAGGGGGAGGAGAAGGGCGGAAATGGTGGGGGAAAGGGAGAGAGGCAAACCATGAGAGACTCTTGAATGCTGACAAAAACTGAGGACTGATGGATGTGGGGGGGAGGGGGGGATGGGCATGGAGGAGGGCACTTTGGGGATGAGCACTGAGTGTTATGTAGAAACTAATTTGACAATAAACTATTTGTAAAAAAAAAAAAGAAGAAAAAAATAAACATTTAAAACAATTATATGAGAGAACACTTAAAATTTTTTTAAATTTCATTTTAGATTGTATTCTTTCACATTCTCATTTGACTAAACCCCAACAATTTTTACTGAAAATGTTTCTCTAACTCCTCAGACTTATCACATACCACTGATGCTGTGATAATTTTTTTTTAAATTTTGACTCTGCTTATCTTCCTCTCAAGCTTTCACCCCACCTGTCCCCCTGAATTATTTGCATCCCTGCCCTACTCAAAACCCTCCAAAAGGTTCCTCACTTCCTATAGACTAAAGTTAAGACATCCCTATTTCACAATAGGATAATATGAGTATATGGTCCCAAACATTTTTTACACAAACCCTCTGGTCTAGGCATAATAATCTCCTTTGTTTTACAGGACACACCATGTTAACAAGCATTTTCAGCCTTGCACTTCTGTTCCACTCTCCATAATACACTATGCTAATGCCTCGGTCCACCCATCCAAATCATGTAAGGCAAACAATATTCACTGAGCATTTACTTTGTTCCAAGAACTAATGCATCATCTCAAGTTCCAGTATTTTTTCAAGCTCTTTCAATCTGCAAGAGATCTCCTCCTAAACGATTCTTCTCCATTGGACGTACAGTAGGAGAAATTTACCCCAGCCTTTTAGGTCATACCGATAAAGCTGTGAGAAATTAAACGAGCACCAAAGAATAAAGCTAGAGTTGAGAAGTAAAAAATAAGAGACCATTCATTCATTCATTCCAAATCTGTTGAGCAATTACATGTGCGAAACACAATTCTGGTTGAGACAGGAAAGGATTCCATTTTCATGTAATGTGACTGAGGGAGTGAACACATGAATACACAATCACTTTACACTGTGACAAGTGCTTTGAGAAATATAATACAGGTCTGACATGCTAGCAACTGATCATAAGGGAGCTGTTTTATTAGAGAGGTGGACAGGAAGCGCCTCTCAGAGTTAACTGATGAAAACTCAGCCATGTGACAAAACTTAAAAAAAAAAAAGTCAACAAACCAAAGGTCCTACACTTCAAAGAGCATCATTATCACATTTTGAACATACATATGTCTCATAAAACTCCCCTAAAAGACAACACTCCTCAGTACAAAAAAAGTAAAGCTAAAGAAATAAACTTTAAAAATTTGGAGGGCGCTTAGGTGCCTCAGTCGGTTAAGCGCCGGACTCTTGATTTTGGATCAGGTCATGATCTCACGGTTCCTGAGTTCCAGCCCTACCACCGACTCTGCGCTTGACAGCCCCTCCCCTGCTCGGGATTCTTTGTCTCTCACTTTCTCTGCCCCTCCCCTGCTTACGCGCGCGCTCTAGCCCTCTCAAAATAAATTTAAAAAAAAAAAAATAAAGAAAGAAAAGAAAAAAGGAAAGCACAAATACTGTGCTCACTCGGGGCTAAGCAAGACTGCTGTCTTTACAAAAAAAAAAAAAACAAAAAAAAAAAACAAAAAAAAAAAACACGTATTGACGGTAGTGCTCTAAAAGAACACTCCAATTCAATGCCCTCTCCTTCCGGGAGTTCAGAGCTCTCTCAGCTCTCCTGAGAACTCCAATAAGGGCCATCAATCTAAAAGAACACATTAAGGGCCAACGGGGACCCGTTCTACTTTCTGGCCGAGAAAACTGTACAGAAGCTTTCACTCAACTTCTTTACACAGACTAGGACTAAAATCACTTTCACCCAAAGAAGCTACAGAAATTCTTCAGTCTGGGGTAAAATACACCACTCAAGTCGGAGAACACCAGGACAGGACCCCATAAAAACTAGATGGTGGGAAAAGGAATCCGTTCCAGGCAGGTTCGCACTCGTGACTACCTCAAAGACACTGCAAGTCCCTCAAATTAATTTCCCCGTCTGCAAACTAGCACGACTCCTGCCTCCGAAGATATGTGTAGCTCTAACGAGACAGCTGTACAGAACTTTAAAAGGCGCACGGAGTGGGACAGTCTCAAGTCATTTAAACTACTTAAACTAGGTGGAGCGCAAGCCGGAGCCGCGCGAACACACCTTGACGAGCCACACGCCGGTGTTCTGTTTGGCGCCGGTCAAATCGAGTTCCCCACGTTCGGCCATGGGTCTGCTGACGGTAGAGGCGAACGGACCAGAGCAGCGGTCCGGGAGGCTGGGGTCCTGCGGGACGAACGACCGGAGAACTCGGTACGCCGCGACCAGAGACTGACTGTGAAGCCGAGTCCACCCGCCAGGATATTGGGAATCCCCGGAAAGAGAAACACGCCGCTGGGAGGCGGGAGCTGCGCCTGCGCACTGCCACCGCTAATACGGCGCGCTGGTGTGGACAAACTTCCTGGTTAAGGCACCTTCTTGAGTGGGCGTGGTTTTTGTAGCCGGTGGTGTCTGAGTGATTAAGACCCAGGGTGGGATGAGACAAAATGTCCGCAATACATTTCAAGCCCAGGTCAGCATAAGTGAAAAAAGATAGCATCAAAACAGAAAATGGGGTTCAAAGAGACAAAGGCTGTAAATTTATGTCCAACCCTGGCCAAGGGAAAATAAACATTTTTGGAGGACAGGGTCGGAGTAACAAAAAGAATGAGTTAATTAGGACACATGGGCACTGCGATTGGACTGTGTAGCCCAGGGGATACTGAAAACATTATTTGTAGACCCGAAAAAAAAATAATAAGAGTGTCTCAACTGAGAAGCTACCCGGAGCACTTCCAATTGAACAAGCAGAGAGCACCCCTAATTTTAGACTTCAAAACCCAGAGTCCATATAATTAGGTCAATTACAGTAGACGCTTAAGACAAACCCGATTGTTAAATACCAGGGTTTAAATAGTTTCCTCTCTTGCCTCTAGCATAAAATTCGATCCTCTTTACAAAGTCCCTCGTAATTTGATCCCTGCTACTCAATCTATCACACATCCAACCAGCATGCAACTATTAGGCCTCCCAAACAGGTCAGGATCTTCTTCTTCAATTATTTCAGAGCCTCTGCACACTGGATGCCCTTTACTCACAGATAGATGCCCCATTCTTCCCTTACCCTCTTTCTCACCAGTGTCCTCTGATTGGCAAACTCCTACGTGGGTTTCAAGACTTATGGAAATGTCACTTCCTATGAAACCTTTTATTAACTTCCCCAGAGGAAGTTGGTTTTTCTTCACATCACAGTGTGATACTTATCACCCTGTACTATGATATACATGTTTACATGCTGCCTTTTGCTTTCTAGACTATGAACTCCTCCTAGGTGGAAATAATGTTTTATTCATTTTATATCCACAACAGCTAGCACAGTGCCTGACACATTGTCAGATTTCAATAGGCTTTAGCTGAATGAACATTTGCTGAAAGAGAAAACAAACAGTAAAACATTGTAAGAATGGCAAGTAATATACTGAATCATGCATCAGAGCCATGCACAACTGAGGGAATTCTATGTCTGTGCAGCATAGAGCCAGGAAAAGTTATCAAGTTTCTGTGATCAGCTGGGAAAACTAATAGGAAAGATGGGAGACCAGGCATGGATTGAAAAGGAGGGTTACATTCTTGTGTCAGAGCTTACAAAAAGGTCTTAAAACATAAAGGGTCAAGGGGGTCAAGGGGTGCCTGGGTAGCTCAGTTGGTTAAGTGTCTAGCTTTGGCTCAGGTCATGATCTTGCGATTTGTGAGTGCAAGCCCCATGTTGGGCTCTGTGCTGACAGCTTGGAGCCTGGAGTCTGCTTCAGATTCTGTGTCTTCCTCTCTCTACCCTCTCCCACTGACACTCTCTGTCTCTGTCTCTCTCAAAGTAATAAATAAATATTAAAAAAAAAATTTAGCTTTGATCTTGATCAAACAGAAGAAATAGATTAAAATATGAGACCATGAGAAAATGGAGCCTGGAACACCCTAGTAATGAATGAACTTAAAAGGATTAAGACCTTGATTTATGGGTCACAGGAAGACTTAATATGAGTGTGTGTGTGTTTGTGTGTACAGGGAATGAGAGAGAACAAATGGGTAAAGAAGAAATGGCTAGATAAGAAAGAAAAAAGTGCAGTAATTTGAAATGATTACATAGGGTGGAAACACCTAGATGGCTCAGTCAGTAGGGCATGCAACTCTTGATCTCTGGGTTGTGAGCTCAAGCCCCAGGTTGGGTGTAGAGCTAAACAAACAAACAAACAAGGAAGTGATTACATAGGGAAGAATTAAAAAACTAGCACCCCATCCTTATACAGTGTTGAATAAGAAATAAACTTATTTTTAAGTTTATGTATTTATTTTGAGAGAGAGAGGGAGAGGCAGAGAGAGAGGGAGACAGAGGATCCCAAACAGGCTCCACACTGTCAGTGCAGAGCCTTATGGGAGGCTCAATCCTACCAGATGTGAAATCACAACCCGAGCCAAAATCAAGAGTTAGACACTTAACCGACTGAACCACCCAGGGCCCCCAAGGATTAAACTTTCATATATTTCCTTTTCAAATTCCCAGCTTGAAGGGATGTTTATGAACTGTGAGAGAAAAGGAGGATATGGGCTCTGTTGTTGCCAGGTGGACTGGGGAGATCACCATGTCCTGAGGCCTCCCTGCCAGCCTGTCCCTGGGATGTTGCTGGATGCTCTTAGTCTCTTTGCAAGAAAGAAATCAAGGCCAGACCAGAAACAATAGTTGAGCTGTGCAAATGAAGAGTTGATTGAGAGTCCAGGGGCACCTTCTGGGGCTCAGTTGGCTAAGCGTCCAACTCTTGATTTGAGCTCAGGTCATGATCTCAGGTTTCATGAGATCAAACCCCAAGTCAAGCTCTTTGCCAACAAGGAGTCTGCTTGGCATCCTCTCTCTCCCTTTCTCACTACCTCTCCCCCTCTAATGACCTCACTCTCTCAAAATAAATAAGTAAACTTAAAAAAATAAATAAATAAAGTGAGGGTCCACTCTCGAGATGTGAGAGCAGGGGAGCTCAAGGTAGAGCTGTGTGCCTTGGGGTGTGGGTCTCTATCGTTTATTGACAGTTGTTAACAAGGGAATGGAATATTATTTGGTGACAGGACTTCTTTGGAAGCAGAGTTTCGCACCTTTTCCCCCTTTCTTGATTAGGGTGTCTGGTCTTCCTCCCCTCAGGCCTGTCTGGTTTGATCCAGCTTACTGTGGCTTTGTTTTCATTTTAATGTTTATTTATTTATTTATTTTAGAGGGAGAGAGAGAGAAAGAGAGAGAGCATGCATGCACAAGAGCGTGCACCAATGGGTGGGGGGGGGGGGGCAGAGAGAGAGAAAGAGAGAGAGAGAATCCCAAGCAGGCTCTGAGCTGTCAGCACAGAACCTGACACTGGGCTCAAACTCACAAACCATGAGATTATGACCTGAGCTGAAATCAAGGATCAGATGCTTAACCGACTCAGCCACCCAGGGGCCCCTGTGATATTGTTGTAGAGAATGATGTCTGTCATAAAAGATATCTGATTTTCATGATAATTTACCCGACTGCCCCTTTGCTGGCCTCCAGCCATCCTGTTAGAATCTAACCAACTGCCTCTAATATTGTGACCCAGAATCACAGATGCACTGTGGTGACCAGCAGGGTATTAGATATCACAGTGAGATTTTTCACCCTCCTGAGGACCCATTATATGCCAGACAGCAATAATTTTGGCCTCATCGAACTTTGTGTTCCTTCCGTCATGATCCTACACCCTTAATATCCACTCTCAAACACACATGTGCCCTGGATTTCTACTTGTACAAAATTAGTAGTTTGGGGTTCCTGGGTGGCTCAGTAGGCTACGGCTAGCTTTGGCTCAGGTCATGATCTTGCAGTCCGTGAGTTCAAGCCCCATGTCGGGCTCTGTGCCGACCACTCAAAGTCTGGAGCCTGCTTCAGATTCTGTGTCTCCCTCTCTCTCTGCCCCTCCCCTGCTCACTGCTAACGCTTTCTATCTCTCTCTCTCTCCCTCTCTCTCTCAAAAATAAAATAAACATTAAAAAAAACTTAAGTGGTTCTTTTGAAGTATAGTGCACGTCCTCCTAGGTCACATTTTGTTCCTCACCCTTGGGGTCTTTTCAAACTTAAGTCTAGTTATAGGTCTAGGAGAAAAGAGAGGTGGTGAGTGGTGGGTCCTGAGGAGAATTAGGATTGTTGAGCAAGACAACTGCCTTACGCAAAGCTATTATACTTTCTTCCTTAGTATTCTCAGAGGAGGTTAGGGAATGCAGGGCTTTCTACCACTCGAGGTCGGGGGGCTGCTTCTACAGGAGGGTGGGAAGGCCACTTCTACTGACAAAGAAGATTCAGCAGAATTTAGGGCTTCAACGTTCCCAGCTTCATCAGGGTCTTCCCACGCATTCCCATTCCAACATACAGGATTTCATTTTTTCCCAGTCAATTCCCTTACTTTAACAGTAGACACCCTTTGAGGCTGAGAGTTCAACCTATGTTGTAATTCAGTCCCAGAATGAGCATCCGTGTTTGATTTTTAGCCATTTCAGCCCTGCAGCTACAGGAGATAAAGGTCTGTAATTTTTTAGCTTTCAGGTTATGTATGGAGTTCTTGGGTTGGGAGTTCAAATCCCTGAGCTTGTCCTTTTCTTTCAACACTTTGTCCAGCAACATTAGGAGCAGCCAGCCATTCTCTTTATATTTGTTAGTTTTCCAAAAGTCACAGTCGCCCAGATCCTTGCTTCTTATAAATGGTCAGTTAAGGCATAGCCCCTGCAGTCATTTTATGTATCAATATATCCCAGTCACACAATGGACTATCAGTGCTCTCTTTACTACTGTGAATAGAGTCATTAACATCTTTAAATCTAATCAGATTAGACAGTCAATTCCTGAAACCCAGAACCAATTCAGAAAATTCATCTCTTACAGGGGTGCTGATTCGAAGAGGCACATGCACCTCAATGTTTATAGCAGCACTATGGACAATAGCCAAAGTAGGGAAAGAGCCCAAATGTCCATCGACTGATGAATTGATAAAGAAGATGTGGTATATACACACAACGGAATATTACTTGGCAATCAAAAAGAATGAAATATTGCCATTTGCAGTAACGTGGATGGAACTAGAATGAATAATGCTAAGCAAAATAAACCCATCAGAGAAAGTTAAATATCATATGATTTCACTCATATGGAATTTCACTCATTGTGGAATTTAATACACAAAACAGATGAACAGAAAGGAAAGGAAGCAAAAATAAGATAAAAACAGAGAAGGAGACAAACCATAAGAGACTTTTAATTACAGAGAACAAACTGAGGGTTGCTAGTGCGGTGTTGGGAGCGG